CTTATGTGCAACTAAACACTCTTTGAGAGGATTTGGAGGAATAGTAAGAGGAAGAAAGAATGGAGATATTTCCTTTTTGTTTCTGTGTCTTTATATTTAAGAAATCATGAGCAGGTGCTTGTGGATTTTGGCATACATTTCTCTAAAGCTATAAAAATTAGAAAGTGAAACTTAAATAAAGCCACAAATGTCACTTTGAAATTTCTACTGATGATAGAAGAGGGTATTATTTAAACTGTCTTCTAAACTATTACAACATAAACCATTGCACAACACTTTTTTTTTAGCTTTGCTCAATGGCCACTTCTTGCCTCATAGTGTATTATTTTAGAGAACAGTGCACCACTCAAATTGGCCACTCCTCAGGCTTTGAGTATGTTTTCTTTTTTTATCATTGTTTTTATTCTGTGGAAACTGATTTATAAGTGACTGGACTGTGAGCTAAGCCTTATTAATAACATGGTTTAACAGCCTAAGGTAATGAATTCAAATAATATTACTGACAGCCTTTGAAATGTAAGTAACACTCTCAAAAAACATCGAAATATACATATTTTACCTGCCAGCCTCTTCAATATTCAGAAAAAAAAATATTATTTCATGTCCTTATAATGGTTTTATATTTTAACAGAGGACTCTGTTATAATACTTGAATATTGATATTTTAACTAAAACAGTCACAAGAATGAAAGCCATTGGCTTCTGATCTTTCAGAGATGTTACCATTAAGTTCATGTGCTCATAGTGAAAATCACAAATAAATCAATAACTTAAGCGTTTAAGAAATATTTATTTACTTATTTATTTATTTATCAACCAAAGCTACATAAGACCAACTGTGTTAATTTCGAAACCCTCAGTTTCCTTTCCTCTAAACCAGTAGCTGGCCACTAGTGGGTTCTTTGCTTCGCAGGAAGTTGCAAAATTGAGAGAGAAAAAAACCAACAAACCTAAGTTGGCATTATTTTTCGCCGTCCTCTGATTTGGATAAAGCTACAGTCCTTGCTTTTTCTCATGGCAACTGTCAAAACTATTGAAAGGAAGAAAATGAAACAAAGGGGAGGGGCAGGGCATTGTGCCAAAGGACATATGCAGGGTTATTGCCAGAAGCTGAGCGGCAGGAATCCAGGCAGCTTGAGGGCTTTTTGGCTCTGCTCTGCTCCCAACGCAGGAGGGCTCCTACCACAGGGCACACACTCAAATGTCTCAGTCGGGTCTCTCCAAGGCCAGGTATCAGTGCCCCTGGAGAAATTCAGTTTCAGAGCTTCATACCTTCTTCTGAATTGTTAATACCATGGTAACTCGGGTACCTAATGCTTTAAGGGCAGGGGGTTGTTGCAGTGATGAATGATTTACAAACTGAGTTTAAAATAGCAAGGATGACCTATTTTTGCAAAATGTCATTTAATTCAGCTTAACAAGGCAGTACGTATTAGCTTAGATGGGTAGTTGGCACACTATAGCTTGCTGCCTCTTTTTGTACAGCCTGCAAGTTAAGAGTGATTTTTACATTAAAAAAATTTTTACATTTTTAATAGGTTAAAAAAATTGAAGAATAATATTTCATGACATGTGAAAATTGTATGAGGGCCGGCCGAGTGGCACGTTGGTTAAGAGCTGGCTTGGGACGCCAGAGGGCCCTGGTTCGGATCCCACATATGAGGGCCAGTGACACTGCCCTCTACAGTTAAGATGCTGAACAACAGCTCAACCTGGAGCTGGGCTGCTGTGAGTTGCCAGCTACAGCATAGGCTGCAGCCCCTGCGGCAGTGGGTTGCCATGGGCTACAGTGTGTAGCCAGCAGCCAGTGTGAGTGGCCAGCAGCCACAGTGAGTAGCCGTCCAGAAGCCTACGACTGATCTGCCTCGCCCAGGAAGGGCGCAATGATGGTGCCAACTTGGGCCAGTGAAGCAACGTCCTCCACAACTAGACTGAAGAACAAAAACAACAGCAACTTGTCTGTTCCCCTTCCCCCAAATCCCCAGCGCTGTTCCCATCCCCCAATTCCCCAATAAAAATCTTAAAAAAAAAATTGTATGAAATTCAAATTTCAAAGTTTGTGGAAATTTGTTTTCTCTCTTGTTATGTAAATATCTACATTATATCCTAATTTGTCTATTGACCTGGAAAACCTAAAATATTTACTACCTGGCCCTTTTCAGAAAAATTTCACAGGTCCCTGGTTTAGAAGATCATGGAATTTAATGTCAGGAAGACCTGGATTGATCTCCAGTACTGCCATTTACTAAATGTATGACCTCAAGCAAGATATTTAACTTTTCTATGCCTTGGTTTCCTTTTCTATAAAACGGGCATACAAATATTTATCTTTCAGAGTTAAATTAGATAATGCATTTCATGTGCTTAACGCAATGCCTATCAGATAGTAAGGGATCCACCCGTTAATATTGTTGTTGTTGATATTTTACCATAAAGTGACTGAAACTAAACAAAATTGCAAAACTAAGGAAATTTTAAAGTTACATTAGAAGCTCTAATAGATTCTACACTATTATACTTCAGGAATTTTAAAACTTATTTTAAAAGACATTTTGGGTTAAATAACAATGACAGATAGAATGGATAAAATTGGTAAGTCCTGTGTTAAGCTTGAAGTAAAAATAGTCCTTGAAGTAAAAAAAATGTAGGGAGGGCTGAGATTGCAAGCTATATATCTGAGTAAATCAAAACCCTCACCTCTTCAGACTCATGCTTGCTAAATTCTATCCAATTACTAGAGTCAGAAAAGAAAATGGCAGAACGCTACAAAATTCGTAAATAGATATCTTGATGAAGACTATTATGGAAATGGGCTAAAGGAAAGATTTGATTAAACTGTAATATTTATACTCGTACTTATGTATGGCTCAATTGGGAAATCACCACAAACAGGTTCTAACTCAACTCTGCTCAGAAATCCAGGACTTAAAATTACTGGAGACAGGACCTGAAGGCAATGCTTCTCTGCAAATTCACATTGGCACCACCATATTTTGATGCACAGATGAGCCTTTAACTGTTTTTTATAGCAGTCTTATTGGGATAAAATTCATATTCCATATACCTACTTTAAGGCATACAATTCAGTGGTGAATTTTAGTACATTGAGAGTTGTATTGCCATCACCGCAATCAATTTTAGAATATATTCATCATCCCAAAATATACTCATTAGCAGGAGCACCTCTCAGTCCCCCAGCCCCTGTTAATGACAAATCTATTTTCTGTTTATATAGATTTGCCTATTCTGGACAATTCATGCAATATGTGGTGCCTGAATGCCTTCTTTCACTCAGCATAATTATTTCAAGGTTAATTCATCTTGTAGCAGGTTTTAGTACTTTATTCATGTTTATTGTGAGATAATTTTCCATTGTATTATACCAAATTTTGTTTATTCATTCATCAGGTGATGGACATTTGGGGTGCGTTTAACTTTTGACAGCTGGGTAAAACTTTTTGCTTTGACTGAGGCTACATACTGCTACAGCAAAACTTGTCGATCACCTTGACTGAGCCAGCTTTATAGGGCATAGGTTCCTCTTTATGAGAGATAAGTGATGTTAATAGAACATTGAGGGCTGGCTGAGTGGCTCATTGGTTAAGAGTTGGCTTGGGACACCAGCTCTGAGCAGTAGGGTCCCGGTTCAGATCCCACATGAAGGCCAGTGACACTGCACCCTCTACAGCTAAGATGGAGCTGCCGTGAGTCACCGGCAATGGCGTAGGCTGTAGTGGAGCTGCAGTGGGCTGTCATAAGCTACTGTGAGTTGGCAGCCAGCATGAGCTGCCAAGAGCTGCTGTGAGCGGCCATCCAGTGGCGGGCGACCAATCTGCCTCACCCGGGAGGAGCGCAATGACAATACCAACGTGGGCCAGTGAAGCCACGTCCTCCACAACTAGACTGAAGAACAAAAGGACAGCGACTTATCTGTTCCCCTTCCCTGATTCCCCAATAAAATCTATTTTTAAAAAAACAAAAACATAGAATATTCAGCCAGAGCCATGTAAAGGAATCTGCAAGAAAGTGCCTAAGAAATAAGTAAGAGAAGGTGGACAGAGTTGTAATAGTTTCTGTTCAGGCAGTAATGCAAAGCTGAAGGTTCATTCACTGCTGTTCATAAGAGCAAAACCTGGAAACCATAAACTGGAATTGGATAAATAAATTGCTGTATAGTCACATAATAATGTAGAATATAATACAACGGAGGAGTTGAAAAATATAGTTAACCCCAGGAGTTTATATTTTGTATGATATTCTTTTTATGAAGTTCAAAGACAAGCAAAACTGAATTGCACATTGTCTACGTACACATATATGTGATAAAACTAAAAAGAAAAGAGGGAATAAGGAATCTCCCATAATCAATTCATGATAGTGATTACTATCTTAGGGGAGAGGCAAAGGGTTGGAATAGAAGAGGGGCACATAGGAATGTGTAACTTGTTCTTGGGTTAGGGGTAAGGGCAAAGGAGTTCATTACAAATATATAAATACAAAGGAGAGTTATCCATGGATTAACGATGAGAGAGTGTCATGAACCAAAGACTATAATAAATGAACTCAAGTTACCTAAGGTCCAAACAAATAATGACAAAGAACAATAGATGAAAATAATATACATACATTGTAAAAATTTGGCTAGACCTACAAAATATGTAATTACAAAAGAGAAAGATTTCACTGATTATTCCTTCAGGTAGAAAACCTTTAACTACCATTGCATTTTATAGCCTCCCATTTTTTCCCCTATGAATTACAAAAAAATTTTAATGATACTAAAACGTGTCAAGTTGATAAGGTCTACGCCCTTGGGAGCTGTTTAGGTCAGGCTACTCACTCCAGGTTCCAACCAGCCTGACCTCAGCCCTACCATCTGCTATTAGCTACAAGGGCTGCGGGAGCACACAGCGACAGGGTCAGAGCGGGGTTGGTCACCGCTAACAACTCCGTCCCGCCGCCCCGGGGGGCGTGCCCAGCTCCTTTGGGGGGGCGTGTCTAAGAGGCGGGGCGGTCCTCAGCCAGAGCCCAGGTAATCGGGGCGGGATCGGGAGGAGCCACGCGTCGCGGCGTGATGATGTCAAGGCCGCGCCTGACGTGACGTGCTCGGCGCGCGCAGCTGTTGCTCGGCGTCTAGGTCCCAGTTCTTGAGCTGAGGAAGAGGCGTACTGTGCTTTTGGCAGGGATGTTGCAGGCTGTTGGCACTGTGGACGAGGAAGAGGAGCAGGCGGAGGAGGATTGTCCTGAATTGGTCCCCATTGAGACGAAGCAAAGAGAGGAGGAGGAAAAGTCTGGCCCCGGCGCTAAGATCCCAGTCACAATTATCACCGGGTATTTAGGTAACTAACCATCCCGGTCAGAAAATGCTGTGAACGCTGGTGTGCTGGGATTTTGGGGGCTGACTGTGCCTCTTCTTTTTACGTATGGGGCTTTCTGGTCGACAGCACACGTCTCTGAGTTAGGGGCTGGGTCACTTGCTCCCAGTAAGGGCTGTTTCTCATCCCGGGGTGTTGATGCCCAGACTCCTCTGCGTCAGATTCACATTTATCAAGTGAGATTGAAAGTTAACCTTGCATTTTGAAGCTAGTTCTGGTTTTGCTGTCTGAAGTCCAGATCCGCCCCCTGATTATCCATGTGACCTTTAACAAGTTATCTTACCTTTCTGAAGCTTGTCTACCTCACTTAAAAATGGAAATAACACTGGCCACCTGTTTGAGTTTGTTTTTTCAACTGCAAAATGGGGCTGGCAACACCTACCTTGTAAGTCAGTTACCACTGTGGACAGAAAAGGGGCCACAGGTTAAACCTGACAAGCTTAGGCGAGTAAAACTAAGATGGTGTGAACACACACACACACACAGATTTTTAACTAAGTGGGCCATGGTGGGAAGTCACATCTTGAGCTTCCTCATTAAGTTAATCTGTGCCTTTTCAGTGGGCCTGTTCTTTGTCTTTTTGTACCTAAGATAACATCTTTAATCCTTGTTCTGGACCAGAGCTGGAAACTGCAGAATTCCTCATTATCATGCTTGTGATGTGCTGTAAAGAGCGAACTGTTAGCTCTCCTGCACCCACCTGTGTGGGAGGAGTACCTGTCTCTCCAATTTACTTTTATCCAATCCCAAAGATTTCCCCGCTTTGCTTTCTCCCACCCCCTTAATCTGTCACCAGTGGATTTCATGTAACCTTCCTTCTTTGATTTTATGTATAAAATAAACTGCAAACTGCCATTTTGCAGAGCATTTTCTCAATCCTTTGAGATTTTGCTTCCCAGCAGTTGTCGATAGTTTGGCTCAAATAAACTCTTATAAATGTTTTCTCTTAGGCTGGATATTTTTTGTCAACACCATTAAAGGGTGTCCTGTCTGGAAAATGCCAGACACGTGGAGGGGCATTCCTCAATGGATTCCCCCCTGCTCCATGAGCCAATCTCAAACATTTTTTTGAGGTCTGTTTGTAAAGCACTGTAGGAGAAAAAGAAAGAATAAAATCTCCGCCCTCCAAGAGTGTATTTCTCAAACTGAGGCCATTGCACAGGGACCCTTGAATTCATAGGTTTGTGAACATGCTACAATTTCCTGAAGGATAGTTTGTGTGCTTACACTAGAAGTACTTTATTGGAAAAGTTTGAGAAATATTATTTTAAAACCTTACAGTTAAATAGAAGGGCTAGAATAAATACCTGGCCATGTTAAAAGTATGGGGAGCGTTAAATGTAAGAACAGTGAAACTATTTTGGGAAAATAATACCATTCCTGGATGCTCCTAGAGACACTGTGTCACACCCTTCAGTGGTTTCTCTTCGGGTTAAAGTTCAAATCCTTTAATGTGAATTACGAGGTCCTGTGTGATCTGGCTCTTGACGGCCTCTCCAGCCTGTGAAACTGGCCCATCCGCATTGAAGTACTTTTACTTTTGCAAGGTGCCAAGTATTTTAGCTCCTGGTATATTTTTCTTCTTACTCTTGCTCTCTGGCTAGATGTCTCTCTCAGGTGCTTCATAACGTCTTACACATCTCCTATTAAATGTATCATTCTGTGGCATGATTGCCTCTCTATTGATCTGAATTTCACTCCACATCTCACTCCCTTAATGTTTCTAAGCTTCATGAAGGTAGAGATGGCTTGTCTCTGTCTTATGCACTTTTTACTAGGGCCCAGCATAAAATCTGGTCCATAGTAGACTTTTGAATGAATGAAATTGCTTCATAATATGGTTAACTATTAAGCCCTAGTAGTTTTATTAGGTCTTTTACATCTCATTCATTTCTATTTTCACTGCCACTACCTGGTGCAGCACTTGTGTTCAGGGCCTCTGTCTTGGTCTAATTTTGAGAATTTCTTCATTGCCCTGCCACCTTAAGGTTTGTCCCTTCCATTCTATACGTCCACTTTAGTGATGTTGAACTTCCTAAAACACTAAACACAAGGCTTCCATCCCTTCAATATCTCTTAAAGGAAAAATGACCCCAAAATTGTTGAAGATATTAATACCCTACTTCTCAGTAAGTCCCTCCTAGTTATACCCTAGAAATCTTGTAAATATACTTCAGAAGATGTGTATAAGCTACATGTAACAGTTCTTAGCACTGTAATAGCAGAAACAACCCAAATGTCCACCAACATAAAAATAGACAAATGAGGGCAGGCCGGTTGGTGCGTTGGTTAAGAGCTGGCTTGGGACACCGGCTCTGAGCAGCAGGGCCCCGGTT